GGGCACCTTGTGTCCTAGGATGGCCAAAGGACACAGGTCCTCAGGCCATACCAACGGCAGTCAGAGGGACCACAGCACCTCTGCGGGGGTTGCCCGCTGGCCCCACTACTCAAGGGTCCTCCTGCAGCCCTGTAGATGCCCACACCTCCTGGGTCAAAAGCAGCTGGCTGTGGGACCCAGTTGGGTGCGGGGTTGGGGAGATGTCAGGGGCCTACAACTGTTGGCCTGGCTAGGGCTCTGAACCACCCTCAGCCTCTCCCCAACAGGCACAGGTTTCTGTACAACAGAGACAAAGCCCTGCTTTGTGGCACACACAGCACACAGGGGCCTTGCAGCCAGAAATGGAAACTGCGGCTTTTCCATTAAGCACAATCTCTCTCCCACTTCAACTGGCCACCAGACTCCTTCAAATCTGGGTGGGTGGGAGGAGCTGTAAAACCTCAGGCCATTAAATTGCTTATGAGTTGCAGGTTCCTGTGGAGGGGGGCAAGTAAGGATATGGGAGGCTCCCACACTCCCCTGAACCATGGGCCCTTCTGACTGCTGAGGATGGGGCAGGACCTCACTCCACTCCTAACACCAGAAGTGGCCCTGCTGGACGCGCTTGATCATTTTTTCCTCCAAGCGCAATTCTTTTTTTTTTTTTTTTTTGTCTTTTTCTTTTTTATCGGTACTGGGGATCGAACTCACGACTGCCTGCTTGCAAGGCAGGTGCTCATGCCGCTGAGCTAAATCCCCAGCCCCCCAAGCGCAATTCTAAGGGGAAAAAAAAGACACAGAAACAGTCCTCCTTGAACTCAACAACTTCTTTCCAGTTGGTGCTATCTTTCAAAAGGAGCACGATACCCTCTGGCCTGCGCCAGGCAGCTTCAGTCACCCACAAAGCTCGGGCTGATCCAAAACCAGCCAAGACGCAGTGGTAAGATACGCTGGCAAGGGGGAGGAGGGAGAAGAGGAGGGAGCAGGCTTTCCTGGAACATTATTAAATCAACTTTCCAAGGATGGCCAGAAACTCCAGGCCTCCTGGTCCCACAGAAGCCTCTCAGACTGCTAGGCCCGTGCTTAACTGGGGGAGGGGCTGCCAACACATGTACACATACACACGTACACACGTACAGCAGATGCACACCACAGCACGCGCACACACACACACACACACACACACTAACAGTCTTTTTAAAAGCAAAGGGCTCTTAGGGTAAGCAGGGTGTGGGGTAGTTTGCTTTCAATTTTTGGACAAATTGTATGTGTATAAATAGTGTTTTCTGAGAGCAACAGCAGCATTATCATCAGCAAGGCCAAGACTGTAGGGTGCACTTTATGTCTTTAAGGTTCCTTCAAGTTTCCAAAGCATGAGGACAGACCCTCTTCGAGAGGCCGAGGTCAGAGCAGTGCTCTCTGAGATGGCAGGACTCACAGAATCATGAGGCTGTGCAGAGAAGAGTCCACCACTTTCTCCACTGCTGTGTCCCAAGGCACGGAACTGCATGCCCCTTGCCATGTGCGTCCTCCAGGCTCCCAGGAAGATGGGCCACGACTGGCCACTCAAGGCCCACTGTTCAAGAGCTTCACGTACACACCCATCCGGTCAGGTGTTCATCACTGTCAGAGTGTGTGTAAGAGAGGGGGCCAACTGGAAAGGAGGACGGTCCAAGGAACACACGTGCCTGTGCAGACTGGAGCAGGGACTTTCACAGTAGGTTTGCTAAAGGCAGGCAGAACTGTTCGTGCCTGCCATGTTTGGTGTTCCCCAAAGGTGCCATATGTTGATACGTTTTTTAAGACAGAGTCTCATGTCATGTAGTGCACCTTGATTGAACTCACTTATATCTCCCAGGCTGGGCCCTGAACTCAGTAATTCTCCTGCCTCAGTCTCCAAGTGCTGGGATTACAGTCCTGAGCCATCACACCTGGCAAAGTACTGAAATCTTTTAAGAGGTGAGGCTTAGTGAAGGTCACGAGGAACACTGTCCTCAAAATAGCTGGGTTAGGGGCTGGGGATTTAGCTCAGTGGCATAAGCAACTGCCTTGCAAGCAGGCGGTCATGAGTTTGATCCCCGGTACCAACTTAAAAAAAAAAATAGCTGGGTTAAGATACCCACTAGTTCCTGTAAAAGCGAGTGGCTATAAAAGAGATAGATGAGGCTGGTGTGGTGGTGCACACCTGTGATTTCAGCACTCAGGAGGCAGGGGTAGGAGGGTCGCCTCAGACTACGGTATGGCCACCCTGGACTACGGTATGGGAAACCTGTCTCAAAAAACAAAACAAAACAGCGCTAGCTGGAGATGGGAGTGGTGGTGTCCTGTAATCTCTACACTTTTGAGGCCGAGGCAGGAGGCTAGTTGAGTTCAAGGCCAACCCAGAAGACACACAATGAAACCCTGTCTCCAAAACCAGAAATAAACCAGTCCCCCCTGGGTGTGGCTCCCGCCCTGCCTGTAACCCTCTCACCGCCCAGACCCGAGGACCCTGGCAAGAGGCGGAGCAGATGCTCCTCCCCTCTCTTGATGTCCAGCCTCTAACACAGTCAGCTAAAAACCCCTTTCTTAGAAATGACCAGACTCTGCTACTTTGCAACAGAAAAGACAAAAACAGTGACCTCAAGGCCAGCAGGAGGCCCACAGACACACAGCTGCCACCTAACTCCATCCTTTGAAATTCCACCGCACCCAAAGCCAATCTGAGGTGACAGAGGGGACCAGGGTTTGCCTGGGGAGCAGACTGCAAGGTAAGTGAGGGACGTTCTGGGGGAATAGAGAATGTTCCAGATCCTAATGGAGGTGGTAGTTACATGGGGTATAGACATTTATACCCAACTATATACTTAAAAGCAGCATGTTGTGCAGTATGTAAATTACACCTTTGGCAGTTGATTTTTAAGAGATGAAAGTCTGGTTTCAGTCTTCCCTGCTATGTGCCTCTTGGCAGTCCTCCGCGGCTTGTGTCCCTCCCTCCTCAAAACCTCTGACGACACCCCCGCCCCGTGGCTTTTTCCACTTCCTCCCCTACGCTGGATCCAGAGCTGCACTGTGAACGCTGTCTCCCCTCTTTCTTCCTCCCTGCCACCCCTGCCCCAGCAGCAGCACCTCCTTCCTGTACCCCGGGACCTCCTTCCTGCTCACCACTCACTCTTCCTACCGCGAGGTCTTAGGCTGCAAAGAACTTGTTAGAAAAAGTTTTTAAGAGGAGAAAAAGGAAGTGATTCTGGTCCAGGTCCCTCGCCCCCAGAGGCCTGGCAGACCCTCCCAGCTCCGACCCGCACCCTGCGCCCACGCACTCCCACTTTCCTTTATGTCATCCCTGCCTCCTGTCACTCAGGATTGGGGTTCTATTTCTAGAGTGTCTTCACTCTTTCTTACTTTAAATCTTACAACCCCCAACAAGGTTGTGAATTTGATTCCTGGTACCCCCCCCAAATAAATAAAAATAAAAAAATAAATCTTACAACCTTCATCGAAGTGCTCAATCTTGCTCTAACTAGACACTCAAAATAACCTTTCTGTCAACAGTAGTAGGAGCAATAATAACTAATAATTTTTGGCATGAGTGCTTTAATTATCACATTTAATTGTTTATTACCATTCCCATTTTACAGACCAGCAAACTAAGGCTTACTGAGTTTGAATAATTGTCAAAGCAAGTACAATGAAGATACCAAGAGCAGAGGATACAAATACATAAAGGTCTGCCTGATTCCTTCCTTTCCACCCCTCCAAATCCAGTTGCCAAATTAATTTTCTGAAAGCCGGATTATGTTCCTAAACTTTTCAAAGTTCCCAGCATCTACCCATTTAAGCACCATTTCCTTAGCCTGGCATTAAAACCTCCATATGCTCACTGAATCCATGTCATCAAGCAAACTGCCTTCCACGTATCTGATATAGCATAGCCCCCACTGCTGCTCCCCTCCCTCCCATGACCTCTATCCCTGAGTTTTCTCTGTGCTTTACTGTCCCTCAGTTGTGTGGTCGCTGCATGTGTCTCTCCTCTGTGAAGAGGCAGCATCCTACACTTGGTCCCTAGCAGACTCTAGCTCAGATTTTGCCTTTAGTTCTTTTACTGAAGAGAGCGTGCCTTTGCCCACTCCAGCCGCTGCACTTTCTAGAAAGTTTCACATGACCTTCTGTACTCCTTCCCTGCCACTGTCTAAGGAGACACATCCTCCATCCATCCGTCCGTCCATCCATCCATCCATCATCTGACAGGCCCCTGACAACCACTCTGATGGCCCAGAAGCAGCCACCCACCATGTGCCCGCCAAGTCTCCTACATGCTGCTTTCTCCCCTGCTCCCAGCGGCATGACCCCTGGACAACAGAGATGCCCAGACACTTGCTCTCAGTCCCTTGAAAACTGCCCTGGGTGCTGTTCCCGTGATCACCATGAGCCATGAAGATTCACACAACTCCAACAAGCCCCATGGACGATGCACCAAATCTCCTTGTTACTAATCATCTGACTTTCCAGCATATCCTAGGTCCCCACAAAATCCCTAACACAAAACTCCTCCAAAGCAAAAGCTCAGCAAGCCCCTGAAGAGGGCCTGAGAGACATGGTCAAGGAGGGCAGCACGGCAGGCAGGAGGCCACAACCGTCTACCCTTACATTACCCCTGTCTTTAGAACCATTGTCTAGAAGCCGCAGGCCATGACCAAGCTCCTACATCCTATAGGGTCCTCTGATTCAATACTAAACCAAAACTCATGGTTCCTTCTCCCCTACTGCACCATCGGACCCTGACAGGTTAACAGGGCAGCCCTAGGGTCCCAGTCACGTCCCTTCCTCAGGCAAAGAAAAATATAACCTGCCCTAAGGACATCATCTCTGGCAAATTAATGTTGGTCATCTTGGTGACCCCAGCCTGAGGCATCTGGCCAGGCTCATGACCGGGTCTCTTGGACATCTTTCCTGTAAGGAAGGAGCCAGCCCAGTCCCTAACATCCCCTCTGGCCATGTCCTCCCACCATGCCTTCGGGCTGACCCCCAGCATGTTGTCTTACCTTGTTCAGGCAAGGTTGGGGCCGGCCGGGCAGTGCACAGTGTGGCTGTGACCAGCACAGCCCAGAAGAGGAGGCACTTCCAGCTCCACATCCCAGTTCTGCAGTTAGAGGTTGGTGACCAGGCTCCACACCTCCATGGGTATCCCACCTCACTCCTCCTCCAGCTGACTCTGCAGAAAGAGAGTCAACAAGTGAAGAGGAGAAGGCAACAGGAAGAAGGTAAAGCACATTCCACAGCTACGTGGTCTAAAAGCGTGCATGAAACACAACACAGGGCTTTTTTTGCAGGGGTGGGGGACAGGGAATCGAACTCAGGGCCTTGTACTTGCCAGGCAGGCACTGTGCTGCTGAGCTATCTCCTCAGCAAGTGCTAGAGACAGTAACAGCTCTCTGGGAGTGCATTCACTGAGTTACCCCAACACTGAACGAGGGGTCACAGGTCTCAGCCAGACTGAGCAGGGTTTCTGTTCACATTACAGCTTGGCTGTGGAATGTTTCCAAAAGGCCTGTGTTGTAAAAGCTCGTTCCCCAGCCAGGTATTACTGGGAGGTGGAGGGGGCCCTTGAGAGTGGGGCCTCATGGAAGTTTAGGTCTCTAAGGGCAAAACAGTTTAGACATCAGAAAGGGATGGTGGGAGCCTGACCCCTTCCTCCTTTTTCATTGTTGGCTGGGAAGTGAAGTTTCTTCTGCTCATTGTGATGTGCCAACTTACCAAACGCCCAAAAGCAACAAACTTCCCCAACCGTAAAGTACATGAATCTTCCCTTTTAAAAAGTTAATTAGGGGCTGGGGATTTAGCTCAGTGGCATAAGTGCCTGCCTGGCAAGCGCGAGGTTGTGAATTTGGTCCCCAGTACCAAAAATCAAAAACAAAAAGTTAATTAGAACTGGGCATGGTGGTACACGGATGCCTGTAATCCCTGCACTCAGGAACTGGAGGCAGGAAGAGCACTGCAAGTTCAAGACCAGCTGAGGCTACAAAATGAGCTCAAGGCCAGCCTGAATTACACAGCAAGACCCTGTCTCAAAAAGACAATAAACAAATACATAGTTAATTACCACAGGCATTTTGTTGTAGTAACGGAAAGTGAACACAATTTGACTCTATAACTATGACTGGCGTGCAGGGCAAGTATATTCTGGGGGGCCGAGTACTGGGAATGGAGCTCACAACCTTGTGCTTGCCAGGCGGGCACTGTGCTGCACTGCTGAGCTATATTCCCAGCTAGATACAAGATGGTTTATGGTAGGGAGTGAATGGGCTCCGGAACAACTCAGCTTTCCTGCCCCTCTGTGGGCAAGGGTTTCACAGAGGGGACGTACATGTGCTGGGGTAGGACTTCACTCTGTCTAGTGCAATCCCATTGCTCTGGAGGAATGTAGAGAGATGATGAATTAAGAAGAGGCCAACAACTAAAAAATGGGAGCCAAATACATAGATAACTAGTAGTAGCTTGGGATCAGGAATATGTTGATCCTCCCTGGATGTGTAAAAGCAAGAAACTCAAAAGGCATGATCTCTAGGGCTGTTCTGATTTTGTTTTGCTTTGCTGTGGTGCGAGGGATCAAACCCAGGGCCTTGAATATAGAACAGGCGTGCAAGCTACCACTAAGCCACACCGCTGGCCCTCCAAGATTCTTCTTTTTTGCTTCCAAACCCATATGCATCACAGGCATCTCTAGTTCCACCAGCCTCGCGGACGGCTTACTAGAACCTTTGGGTGTAGGTCCTCGAGGCGGATCCAGTTTTCACTGGCATTGGGAGGTGACAGCTGATGTCTGCTGGAACAGAGTCCAGAAGTCAGGACAGGATGGGAGGGAAGGGTCCAACTGTACAGCCAGAGGCAAGGGCTGATGCGAAGGTGGCTCAGTCGTCCAGTTAGAAAGGCGGCAGCACTCTCACGGCTTCTCAGGTCTGCAGTGGGGAAGTTTAATGTGGCTCCCTAGGGTCTCAAAGAGCAGATTGCTGCTGCCAGACATGAGGAACAAGGTTTTCTGGGCACTGCTTGGGTGGGGGTGGGGGAGACCATCTCTTCTTTCCAGACTGAGTGGCCTGGCTGGCAGGGGACCCCTGGATTCTGGGCTTCGTTGACATGTGCCACCCCTGCAGCACTATTTCACGCACTACCTACCACCAGCTCCCTCCCAAAATTTACCAAAAACTTTTAATGATTTCAAGTGAAAGATGAAGTAAACATTTCTTTCCTTTTGCTAAATTTAGGAAGGGGACAAGAAATGGAAGGAACATTTATTTGTGTGCCAAGATACAACTCATAAGTATAAAACATGATTGATTCCTCACTCTGTTCTAGGGGAGCAAAGTATGGCTGATCTGTAAACAGTGGAGAACACAGGCACAAAGTTAAACGCACTGCTGATGGAGATGAAGCCAAGGGGCCTGGCTGATCCAGGAATGAGGGTGTGCCTCAGCGGCACACGGTTTGATTTCGGGACTGTGCAAAACAGTAACAACAAAGAAGGATTCTGTCTGATGCAGACGCAAAAGGATCCCCATCCTGTCCAGAATCAAGTGGCTAAGAACAAATCTGAGCCAACACTGGACTACCGAAATCTTGACTCTCCACTCCTCTGGAGGACAAAAAGAGTCCTGGAAACAGAGCTCACATGGGCCAACTGGGATCCAGGACAGGTTACCATCCCTGGTCTAGTCCAGAAGCAACATTCACTAGAGCGTCTCTATCCTGTGCCACCTCCCCCAGAGATAAGCCTAACTGACACTGGCCTACCCAAAAAGGTCCCCTTAGTAATGCCCAGCTACTAAATGAATCTTTATTATTTTTTATTTTTTTTGGTCTTTTTCCTTTTTATCGGTACCAGGGATTGAACTCACGACTGCCTGCTAGCAAGGCAGGCGCTTATGCCGCTGAGCTAAATCCCCAGCCCCTAAATGAATCTTTAGTACCCCAAAAGTGAGGATGGGAGAAGGTAGGATCATTTTGAGATGACTGAGGTTGGATTTTCTTTTTCTACTGGGAATCAAACTCATAACCCACTGGTTGCTAGGCAGGTGCTATACGGCTGAGCTACAATCCCCAGCTCAAGCTTGGTTTTAACTGCAGCAGACAAGCAGCTTCCACCGCCACTCAGTGACCCTGTTCTGGCAAACCTGCCCAGTCCCCACAGAGACCCCATGACCGATGTACTTCAGACTAATTTGGCAGCTTCCTTGTGACTCACTCCCCCTCCTCCCCGAAATGTGCAAAAGTAGGGCTTCACATCTGTAAAACAAGAATTCTGTGTATCCCAGACCTCCAGGCACCAATTCTGGAAGAGAAGGTGAGTGGCACACATCCCATTCCACACACCTGCGGAAAACGCCCATGTGCTGCCTGGGATCTTGGGGACTGCCACCTCACCTTCTTCTCATTCTACTGATTAATGAATTCTTCAAAGCCCCTAGGAACAGCCTCCTTCCTTCTCTGTCGACAGATGTGACCTGCAGCCTTGCAGGTGCACACAGCAGCTTCCCCAGAGATCCTGCAGCTGGCTCCCTTTCCGTATCTCTTAACAGCAGCAGCCAGGGATGTGGGGTTCACAGCCCCACCTGCTTGGTGGAGAGGTCCTCAGTGAGGAGTGAAGGTGGGGGGGACCATGGCTCCCAGTTTTCACACTGCAGGATTGGGCTAATGTATGTGCCCTGCCCACATCCGAGGTGGTTATGAGGACTGAACAGGCAGCTTACTGACCCCTCTCAAGAACTCACTCTACGGAAGGTGCAGCGCCTCAGAAAGCAGTGGCCAGGTCATGCGACGCAACATCCCTCTTCACTTCTAAGAGTAAAGAGTCTACAAACACCAAATCTCCCTGCCCAAAAATGAAGCCAGGAAAACCAGCAGAGGCACTGGGTCTTCTTGTTCTCCTAAGGTAACAGATGGATGGATTTGTGCCTTTCCAGGTCTGACCTTGGCCAGCCTAGGCTAGTCACTCAACCTGTCCAAGCTTCAGCCCCTACTTGTTGGCAGGGTGGAAGATCAGCCACATCACAGGTGATAAGGATCGAGTGGGCAGTGTGATGAAAATCCACCCTCTCCTCTCTCAACTACCCAGACCTAAGGAGTTACCAACACTGTCCTCCATGGCACTCAGATTTTAGTAACTGGTGGCAAGTGGATACGAACTTCCTACTTTTGACTTCCCTAAGGTATTTCTCTGCCACATGTGGCTTGGATCTGTTAGATGGAAATACAGTCCCTGATTTTGTAAAGCTAGTATGAAAAAAGAATGTTATTCATCTCATTGCTGTTTTATATTGAGACTGGGTGACTCAGAAGTAGAGTATGTCCTTAGCATTCATGAGCCCCCCTCCTTTTTTTTTTTTTTTTGAGAAAGGGTATCGATGTATTTTGGGCTGATCTTGAATTCACTTTGTAGCTCAGGCTGGCCTCAAACTCAGAACGATCCTCCTGCCTCAGCCCCTGGAGTGAATGTTGGGATTACAGGTGTGCACCACCAGGCCCAGCTCAAATTTCTTAATATTGATTGCATGTTTAAATGACACAAGAAGGACTGGGATTTAGCTCAGTGGCATAAGTGCCTGCCTTGCAAGCGTGTGGTCGTGCATTCAATCCCCGGTACCAGGAAAAAAAAAAAAAAAAAAAGATTGGAGTTTTCAAATGACACAGGAAGAGTCTTGCCAAATTGGTTATCTTGCCCGGGCTGGGCTCAAACTTTCGATCCTCCAACTTTGGTCTCCCAAAGTGATGGGATTACAGGTGTGTGTCATGGAGCCTAGCTTCACATTCTATTTCTACTGCACGACGGAGCCTGAGGCATCCTCTATGCCTCTGTGCCTAAGTGTCCCTCTTTGTCTCCTTTCGCAATAGGGTGGTTCCTTCCTATTGAAGCCCCACTGTTAGCAGCTGTCTCTTTCCGGGACCTTCTAGCTGGAGAATCCCATTCCTCTGAATTTCCAGAACACATCAGAGCCTCTATCCCCAGGCACTTATGTCCCTCTGCATGGTTATTATGTTCCCTCCTTGCTTCTTGCCCATGAAGCTTGGGGCTTCTTCAGAGCAGGGTCTGAGCCAACTAATCTGTCAACAACTCTAGCACCAGTATGCACACGGCAGATGGTGGCACATTTGTTATGATAAATGAATGAAAGCATGTTCCTTTTCTGAAATGCTTTAGACTGGAAGTTTTACGATTTTGCAATTTTTTGGATTTTGGAATATTTGCATAGGGTCCTCCTACCAAAATCAGAAATGGTCTGAAATCCAAAACTTTGAACAGCTAACATGACACGAGTATTTCAAATTTCAAAATTTTCTGACTAGGGATGTTCAACCTGCATTGATGCTCTTTAAAACTACAGAATAATAGCCGGCTGTCGTGGTGCACACCTGTAATCCCAGCACTCAGGAGACTGAGGCAGGAGGAGGAACAATGCAAGTTTGAGACCAGCATGGACTACATGAGTGGGTTCAAGACCAGCCTGAATTGCATGGAGACTTTGCCTCAAAAACAAACAAACAAACAAAGAAACAACCCAACAATTGAAAACCAGAAAAAAGCCACAGCTAGTATCCATTGGTAGCCAAACTCTATTCCAAAGAATACTGTGGGGAAATTTTCTTAATATCTTTAACATTTTGGTGTCCCAAGAGCTGAGGAAGTGACACAAAAGCATGAATCATTTTTAGATGGGAATTAAGACTTAACAGAAATAGTTAAATTTCCCCAAACTGAGCAGGCTTTGCTCCATGTTGAGGACAGGGCAAGTACTTTAATTGATCTTTGAAAAAAAGCAGCTCAGTTTACAAAATTTTAGTTGGCTCAAAGGAAATGCTACAATCATATCTTGGTACTGGACTACTTTGAAACTCATAGGAATTTGCTATTCAACACATTTTGATGTGAAAATTTCGTTCCAGGATTCCTGGTTTGTTAGATACTCTACAACCTAGAGCTTGTGGTGTGGATTGCCTTGCTACTCTTTCCAGCCAAAATAATTTGGTACTCCTGGCAGCTTCTGGAACCAATTAACGATACCAAGGTACCTCTGTAATTATTTTGAGTCTGCACAAAAGTGTCCAAATATCCTTGCTAGTGAAAGGTGAATGAAGCATTAGCAAAACGTGAAATGAGAACCTTGTGACATCATCTAGGAAACTCTGTTGCTGAAGACTAGACACTACTGCAGTATCATCATATTGCTGGAGTTCTTTACTATGTGCTTGGGGGAGGCAGGGAAACCAAACAGCACCGCTTCTTCAGTGCTAGGGATGGTGGGGATTGCTTGGAGAGACTTTCTGTTTAAGGCAGATGCAACCTTGGGAGAAAACAAGTATCTCAGCCCTGGTCTGGTATTTAATCCCCTCTGACCAGACCAGAACCTTCTCTAAAGCTCTACATCTGGACTCCCACTTGTCCCTGGAGCTTTCAGACCATTTACAGAGCTCTGGGGAAGACAAACACAACACAAATTTCCCCAGAGGAAATTAAACTTCACAGAACAAGGTGCTGGAATCAATTCTGACTCTTTTTCCTCCTGCATCAATAAGCTAAAACTTCCCGAGGAAGCTCCTTAACTAACAGCCATCTTGATGAAAGATTGAAAAAAAATGGAGGCCAGAAAACAGCCTTCAGAGACGCTGGCTGCTCAAACCCCAGGCTTACTGGGCAAATCTCCTCTATTCTGAGACTCCTTTCAGATCAATGCCTCAAATAAGCAAAAAACACACATTACAAGCAAAACCCCTGGATCTGCCTGCCTCCCGATGTTCAGTTCAGTTTGCTTCCCCTCCGGAGTGACCAGGAATACAGCTGGTCCTGGCTTAGGGGTACTTGGGTGTCCTCTAATTCCCTCCCCAAAGCAGGAAGCGCTAACATCTGCAGGTCTCCTTCTCCACTTCTTCCTGTTCCTTCACTTGTTGTCCTAAGGACATCAAATGGAACTTTCTAACATCCTCCATGGCTAGAGGCCACGGAAAAGCAGCATCCTAAGGCTGTCCACTTTGGAGCCAAAGGAAGGGGTGCCCATTTTGGCCCAAATCCCCACTGTGAAAATACTTCCAACAGGGGCATTTCTAAGGGCCCGGTAAAAGCAGGCAGTGAAAGTGCACGTGTTGGACTGGCTCTCCATCGGGATGACCCTCGTTAAAAAGCTGACACTCAGCTATGACTAAGAAGAGTAACAGCAACAGATATTTCAAGAGGCTCATCAGTGATGCAGCACATAAACATCCCAGCGGGAGGCGGCTTGCTCTTTCCCGTCCCCAGACACCCTGCACTGTGAGGGTCAGCAGTGGGCCTGCAGGTCTCCAAACCCGCTGGGGGTAAATATGTAAACAAGTCGTTAGGGAGGGAGGCAGGCCGCAGGGACAGGCGCTGGGCGAGGGCAGAGCCTGCGGGTCCTGGGTCACGGAAAAGGAAGGAGATGACCCGGGCGTGGGGTAATTAGCCAAACCCTGGGGGCCCAGCCGCTTAGCTCTTAAACAAGCCACAGAGAGGAAAGCAGGAGCATGGGCCAGCGGGGAACGAGGCCAGTTTCTGCTCGACAGTCTCAAGAAAAAGGTTCTCGGATTTACTTGGTATTCTAAAAAAAGCACCGGTCCGGAGACGCAGAGGGCAGGGCACATCTGGGGAGGAAACAGTCACCTTAATTACCATGTCTAGAGAAAGTGTGATTTCATTACAGCCTCCAAAACTACCGCCCAAAGAAGGAAACCAGAGAAGTGTTTTCAATTTGAAAAAGACTGGAAAGGAGGTGAGAGGGACCAAGTCTCCCTACGCACCGCACTCCTGGACCCCGGGCTGATTTCTTGTCTCAAAGAACTCTCAAAAACAACTCGACACGCCACCCCTCCCCGTGGCCGTTACCCAAGTTTCCGAGGACTGCGGCCCCCACGACTCCCTAAAAACCTCTGGAGGGACGCCCCCCACCCCCCGGCAGCACCCATCCAAGGCTCGCTGCGGGACGGTGGGCGCCGCCCCGGGACGCAGTTCCAGCTGCGACTCGAGGAAGGGAAAGCGGCGCTTTGGTTGCTCTGCAAACATCTGTCAGCGCCTGTTCTGGGCCAGACCCACGATCACAGGCCACTCGCGGCGAGGCAGAGCTCCAGAGCGCCGCCCCTCCCCCACAGCAGTCCCGCGCGGCTCCCGGGCCCACGGGCCCACGGGCCAGGCTCCTCCCGCACGGCGTGGCGCGCGCCCCGACCGCCGCCCACCCGTGGCGGACAGCTAGTTGGGCGAGATCCTACGGAACTTGAGGTCCACGAGAACTTTCTGTTCTTCCCCCACTGCTAGGCCTGGTCTCCAAGTCTCAGGGTGAGAAATGTTAAGCAGGGAGGCGGCGAGGACGAGTTACCCAACTGCAATTTGAGTTTGGGGGAGGGGACGCGGAGGGGAAGGGGGAATGCGAATGCGGACGCGGTGTACCCGCGTGGGGTGAAACGGAACCAGATGTGGCTTCCACATCTGGGAAACGGGGGCGGGGTGGGGGAGAGAGGCACCACAGAAACGCTTTTTAAATGGGTTAATAGCCGCTAGCGCCTGAAAAGAGCAGCAGCCCCCTCACCTCCATCCGCCCCAGGAGCGTCTCGCTGCTTCACAAGGGTCTGTATCCTCTCTGAACCCCAATACAACGCCAAGAAACTTCCCTGTAAGTGTAGCTTCTGGGCTCTCTGGCCGTCCCTGCGTAACGGGAGCAGGGAGCAGGGTTCCGGCAGGAGAAGCGACCCGCGTCGCAGCCGACGGACCGCACTGGACAAAACCTAACCCTTCCCCCACCCCAGGACCCGGCTCGGAGCGGGCTGTCCCCGCCCCCACCCCGGCCCAGCGCTCCACATCAGACGCCCCCCTTCTCCAAACTTCCGAGCCGGCAGAACATCACCCCCTCTTGGAAAGCGCAGTCCCTGCTCGATCCCCGCGAAGGCGCAATCAGCCATTTGGTGACGACACCTCCTTCCAACCTACTCCGTGGCCAGCCGACCTTCCTCCGTGGCCTGCCCTCCTCCTGCGCCCACCCGGCCGCCCCGGCGAGGACCTCAGTTTCCCGGAGGTGGGCACGCCATGGATCCCAGGCTTTCACGGTGCGCCGAGAGCTACCTGCTGGATTGGGAGAAATCCTCAGCAGGGACAGGAGAGATGGAGTGGACTGGATCGCGAACACGCGCGCACACAGGCACACGCGCGCGCGCGCGCCCCACCTCGCCCTCCTCGCCAGTCCGAGGGAACCGCGGGCTCACCGCGGCCCGCCGTCGCCCCGCCGGCTCCAGAGCGTTCGTTGGAGGAAAAGTTGGGCGGCGGGAGGAGCTGCGGGACCTGCGGAGGGGCGCGGGGGGAGGGCCGCCGCGGCGAGCGCGCGAGGCGGGGCGCGCAGCCGGGGGCTCCAGCGCCGGGGCCGGGGCCGCCCGGGACGCCGAGTCCGCCCGCGGGAGCCCGGGGCCGCAGCTCTTACCTCACTCGGCGCGGCGGTGCCTCCTCTGCAGAGCTCGCCGTGGCTCGGGCGGGTGGGCGGCTGCTGGAGTCCCCTGCTCCGGCCCGTAACCCCCGGGCTGAATTCGGGTCCTCGCCGGGTCGCGAGAGCCCCGCGGCCGGTGCTCGACTCCCGGTGGCGCTCGGTGCTCGGCGCCTCCAGCCCGGGCGGGAACAATGGAGCCAAAGCTGGTGCCCCGGAGGCGGGGCGGGGGGAGGGCTCCCGTCCGCCGCCCCGGGTCCGCGGACCTGGTGCCCCCTTTCCAGAAGCCGGCGGCGGCCCTCACGCTCCTCGCAGACCTGGCTCCATTGCCGTGCGGGGCCCGGTGCCACGGCGCCCCCGACTGCAGCCCTGGTGCCGCGCGCCCTGTGGGGCGCCCCTCAGACCGGAGGGAAGTCCTTGGTGGCCGCCGCTCTTCCAGCTGCTGCTCGCGCTCGCGGCCGTGGAAGGCGAGGTCGCCGCAATGCGCTAAGCACAGTTCCTCCGGCCCGACACTGCCGCCCAGCTCCAGCACGACCCGGATTCCTCGGCGCGCTGCGGCTGGACCAGCGTCCCGGCTCCGCGCCCGCGTCCGCTGCCGAGGCCCCGTACCGGTGCCCGCAGGAGCGCTCGGAGCGCTGTGCGCCGGCAAGGCGCGAGGGCTCGCTCTCCCTCACTCCCACCCCTCGCTAGTCCCACCTCCTCCTCCTCCCCCTGCAGCTGCCTGCTGGGCCTTGTAGTCCCCGAGAAGCCGGAGCCGAGCAGCCGAGCGCTCTCTTCTTCGCCTGCAGTCTCCGCTCGCTCGGGCGCTCCTGCCTCTCCTTCCTAGCACGGCAGGAGGGCGCCCGAATGTCAGGCCGCTGCAGCGATTTGCAGGGTGGGTGAGGGAGGACGTCAGTCCGAGGCGGGACGTGGCAGCAGGGGTTGAGTGTGCCTCGGGAAATAGTTTTCTCTCTATAAATCCCTCTTTCCCCATCAGTTAAACCGGGTAATCTATACTTCGCCTAGAGTCGAAGAGTAAATAAGGATTTGACACGTAGTTCACACTCTTTAAATACAAACCGGTTTTATTCTTCTGTAGGTCGGCCCCTCTGCAGGCCCTTCCCCAGGATCTATCTTATCTTTCCCCAGACACAGAATTTGGGTTTTGCGGTCCCAGGGCTGCACTCTGAATTCTACCTTCGGTGCTCTGGGAGGCTGCAGCCTGCAGTAAATGTTTAGGAAACAAAAGAGTGGTAGAAGCAGAGGTCCTGTGGTTTGGAAGTTAATCAGCCCACTCTAGGCACCCTGTGGTGTCCCGTGGAACCTCAGAAAGAGTGGCTAAGTGACTTTTCCCTGGGATCAGGCCACTGAGACCTACTGTCTAGTGCTTCTGTAATCCAGATGGGCATGAACTTTTGGAGGACTTTTGAAAGATACAAATTCTTAGGCCTGATTAGAAACCAGGAGCAGAACTGTCCCAGGAAAAAGTAAAAAACCTGTTTTTCTCTAAGGCTCTGTGGTGACTGATGTGGGGCCAGGCTAGACGTCCTGGTGAATAGGCCACACTAGACATTCGTGTTACCACTCATGAACTTCTTTTTAAAATTTTTTCTCACAAGAAAGAAATGAACATTTTGATTTTGGACAAGTCATATATGTAACAGAATCAAGCCAGACGTATTCGTTGAATGTCCTCCACAAGTATGTCATGAAAAACTCATCAAAGGATGTTAATACCCCCAAAGTGGTACACAAATACAAGTCACTGTTTATCCAGGCTTGGTGACTGTAAGCTTGTAAACTTAGTAGTTCTTGGAAAGCTGAGGCAGGAGAATCAGGAAGATGTGAGCCCACCCTGGGCAACTTGCAACTTTGCAAAAAGACCCTGTCTCAAAATTAGCATAATTTAAAATAGACTGCCTAAGTAGCTCAGTAGAAAGGCCCTGGGTTCAATCCCCAATACCTCCCAAAAGTTATTACTATATGTTAGCTACTGGTAGGGCCAATACTTTCATCCCACCCCACCTCAACTAGAAAAATTATGGAAGCTGCATGGTGAGACTGGGCCACTTTGTCCAAATTTAAGAACAGTCTCAAATAATTCTCTATTTGACCAGCAGGTGAAAGAATCGTGAATGATATAGTAGACACTTCAAAGTGTTTATGAGAGACCCTGGGTTCAATCCCCAGCACTGCTAAATCAACCAATCAGTCAATCTAGGGGGTAGCTCAGTACAAAGTCTGTTTCAATCCCCAGCATTAAAAAAAAAAAAACAAAAAAAACCCTAGACTTGGTGGTGCATGCCTGTAATCCCAGCAACATAGGGAGCTCATGGTCAGCCTGCACTATGTAGCAAGACTCTACCTCAAAAAACCAAAACCAAACAAAAATGTGTTTATTGGGCCAGGGATTTAGCTCAGTGGCACAAATGCCTGCCTGGCAAGCCCAAGGTGGTGAGTTTGATCCCTGGTACAAAAAAAAAAGAGCTGATTAACTGGCCAAAGAGTAATAGTCCCAAAAATTTGTTGAACAGATAAATAAATAGAAAACAGGAACTAATTTATGGATAAAATGAACCCCAAGCATTATTCAAAGGGATATCTCTTCAGAGTGTATCCCCTGCCCTTCAACCGTGCGACTCCTTTATCTTCCAATTGAAGCCACCAAACTCATCCCTCCTCTGCCTAGCTCAGCCAGTCCCTGGATGTCCCACCGGCTTCTGCTAAACTTCCTGACTGGACATGTACTGCAGTCCTGTTCGCTGTCCTTTTTACTGGGTTTGCCCGTTCTCTTCAGCTGGCTTCTAAACTGTTCTAAGATGCAGGACCCCATCTGTGCTCAGGACTCTGCTCAGGAGGTCTTTCACAAACACAGATTTGTTGTTTTTGGAGTTGGCAAGTGTAACAAACGTGGGTAACCAGAGGAGGGGATAGGATCTGAAGGAATACCATTTGGAAGGCAGCCGAAGAAAGTCCAGGATTGAACGCTGACGCTCAAGCCAGTTTTCTCGCTGTACTGGAGAACAGTGTGTCCACCACCCTTCCTCAACAGAATTACTGTACTCCAGCTCTGGACAGTGATGCGGCTCAGTGGTAGAGCGCTTGCCTAGTGTGTATGAGGAGGCCCTAGTCCACCAATAAGAATGCCCCCAAATCCTAAAGGGAGGCACATTCTCACTTGTCTTTAATTTTTTTTTTTCTTTTGTCTTTTTAAAATAGGGTCTTGCTATGTGGCTTAGGCTGGTCTTGGGCTCACTTTGTTGTCTTAAGCTGGTCTGGAACTCTTTTTTTTTTGTCTTTTTCCTTTTTATCAGTACCGGGAACCGAACTCATGACCACCTGCTTGCAAGGCAGGCGCTTATGCCACTGAGCTAAATCCCCAGCCCCCTGGTCTGGAACTCTTAACAGTCTCCTGCCTCAGCCTCCCTAGTGTTGAGATTCCACCACGCCTGGCTTTGTTTTTGATTTAAATAGAAAGAGAAACATCTAAATTCATGCGTGTTTGGTGTTGTGGCCCACTGCTGAACGAAGTGCTCTAGAGATTGATATTCAGCAAGTGGCCACTTGCCAGCCCTCCCGCAACCTGTTCTTTGAGGAATGGGATGGAGAAGGTGAGGGACCCACAGAACTCATGGGCCACTCATGGATCTAGCCACTGCTCCTAAGAGATCAAGAGTCTGTTGCTTGTACCCTTCCAGCCACCTCCTCCTCTGTGCTGACCCCTCCCACCCCGCCCTGCTAGTGCTGATACAAAAACCTTCCACTTGGGAAGGACCCCAGGGCAGAGGAGGAAAGGTGCCCAGGACAGCTCTGAGCTGCTCCAGGCATGAGGAGTCATCTCAGCTCTGCCTGCCTCAGTCCTGCTCCCGGGAGCACTGGCACTTTGGCTCCCACACAGAAATGTAATCTTCTCTCTGAGGTAACAAAGAGCTGGGAGGGTCAGGAGGATTTGTAGGCCCCTTGCCCTGCCAGCGAGTTGTCAGAGGGTAGACAAAGACACTAACACTCAGGGACCTGATAACCAGTTGGGGGCCTGTTGCCTTGAGATCTGTGGGAGGAGGGAACCCATGCTGAATGGGATGGAAGGAAATGGAGCTCTCCCCAAAGCCCCGAGAGCTGGCTTTGTCTGGGAACACTGCAGAAAGCCCTCCCTGTTCCTCGGGAACCATGTTCTCAGAGTTCTTCCTTCCCTGCTCCCCACAGGCTCCCTGCCCAGAGCTGCCCACTCCTCTGAGTTTGCTTTTTGGGCTCCTGCATGCCTACTGGGGAGGAGCCCTGCCC